CGGCGGGGCCAAGCCCGTCTCTCCCGCGCTCGCGCCCCGCTCGCCGGGATGCGCCCCAGCCCTGCCCGGGGCGCCCCCGCCGGCTCCGATCCCGGGTACCCACGCCGCCCGGGGCCCCGGCCTACCTGTGGGCAGCGGGCCACTCAGCTCAGGCTGGGACTCGGGCTGGCCCTCTGGCTCTGCTGAGCTGGGCTGACCCTTCTTCTTCCTTCCTTTGGTGAAGACGCTGAACACGTTGGCCAGTCCTTTTGGCCTCTTGTTCTTCTTCTTCTTGGTAGCCTCTTCCTCATCCCTGTCCGGGGCTCCCTTGGCCTCCTGGGGTGGCACCAGGTCCTCAGAAGAGGCCTCTGACATGGAGGCCTCTGATTCCACCTCTGAGGCGGGGGGCAACTCCTGGGAGCTTCTGGGGGGGTCGGGAACCCCTGGGGCAGTCTGCTGGCCGGGTAGGCCTTGGAAGAAGGTCATCATCTTCAGCATCACCCCGACTCGGGCCTGCAGACGGGCGACAGGCAAGGGGAGAGGGAAGGTAAGAGCGGCTGCAGCAGACAGGCCCCAGCACACATCCGCAGGGGCAGCCGTGAGCCTGCTTGGCCTGTTTTCACCGTGTGACCTTCCGGGTCTGGTGATCCCGGCCCAGAGCGGCACGAACAATTCAGCTCCCTCCCCGGACACCAGTTCCTCAGCACCTATGGTTTCTCTTCCAGTACTGCCGAGTCCCTCCCGAGGTCCCCAGAGGCAGGGAGGAATCTGGGCATGTCAGGTGTCCCAGGCAGAGGGGGCCTTCACTTCATTTCGGCAAATCCTCCTGGGCCAGGAGAAAGGACCGGAGGGTGCGAGTGCCGTCCTGCATCCCGTGAGACCCTGGGAGAGGAGGCAGAGCCCGGGCTGCTGTGCCTCTGCACAGAGCAAGAACTGAGGTCCACAAGGGTCACGGCACCAGCGGCCGCTCCATCTTGCCTGGTTCTTCCTGTCTGTGTGGAGTCCCAGAGGGATGCTCTGAGCAGAAACATGGCTGCTGCTCCTGCTGGGACCATGAGGGGAGCAGAGCCCCACCCGCCATCCTGGCTTTGGGGCTCAGGTCTGGAAAGCGTAGTGCCCCTCAAACTTCCAGGGGTGGGAAGGGACCTCAGAGAGGCCTTCACACGCCAGCAGAGGCCAGGGGCCCGACGAGGCACCGAGCTATCTGAGGTCACCCAGCAACTCAGACCAGAAGCCAGGCTTCCTGGCTCTTTCTTGCTTTACCCCGCCGGTCCCAAATTTGGTGACATTGTCACCACAAAAGCCTCCACTTCCCACGCCCTCCCCAGGTGCCCATCACGCCTCTTCCTCATTCCCTTAAAGGGGGGGATTTATTGTCCTCATCACACAGAACTGACTTGGGGAAATGTGCCTGCGGTCAACAGCCTGGGCCTGGAACTCAGATCACCTGGTGCTGCGTCCTCCTGCCTCCCTGTCCCCCACCGCCTCGCAGGCTGCATTCAGAGAGGCAGGACCCCCTTGTGCCCAGCACCACCCCCCGCCAGCACCGTAACCATTATCAGAGCAAGGCCGGTGGAGGGGAACATGGCTGAGCCCAGGAGAAGGGAGCAAGGCAGGGCTGGGAATGGGGAGCAGATAGGATCAGGCCTCCCTGATGACTGTGGCGATCCACCACCCTGGTGCCTGCCCCACCACCCAAGAGCAAACACGACAAGTTGTGACTCATGGAACACGATGACTTTGATTCACCTCTGCGGCAACTCTGCAAGGCAGATGGAATGATCCATCATGCAGGAGAAATTGAGGCGAGGAGGGGTGTGGGAGATGCTTGCCACAAGCCCATAGCAGGCATGGATCAGGGCCGTCAGACCCTTTTCACAGCCCCTGCTGCATCCCCACCAGCCCAACTACCCCCCGCCCCACATCCCTCCAGGGCCTCATCACAAACCCCTGAGTTTGGCCAGAGCCGCTTGGGGGGCAGATGGCCTGAGTTTCTCCCAAGTGGCTTCACCAAGTGCCCTCAGCAGAGTCCAACACCGCTGGACCTCAGCTGTCTCCCTGTGCCATTTGGGCTGAGGCTTCCGCTCCAGGACCAAGCAGGGGGTGCTCCGGGGAGCCCCAAAGCCAAGGCGCAAGGCCGCCAGGCTCTCCCGCCCTTCCCACCCACTGCCCCAGCCCTCTCCCGATCCGTCCCGTTGTCACACTGCACACCCTCAGGAGCTGGTCTGGCCAGCAGGCCGGGGCTACTGGGCACCACCCTGAGTGGCCAGGCCCCACCTCTGCCCTCCCTTCCTTGTCCCACACCTCCTCGGTCCCCACACATGCTAGGCTCTATCTGGCCTCCAGACCTGGCTCCTGCGGGTCCCCACACAAAATCTTTCTCACACCTTGAGGTCCTGCAGCGGCCCCCTTGGCTGGGTCCCGGGACTTGATTTTCAGCGGCGGCTGGTGCAGTGGAAAGTTAACGGGCTAGGGGATCAGCGGCACCACTCACTAGCATGTGGGCAATAACTCTCTTCATTGGCCTCAGTTTCCCCATCTGTGAAATGAAGATGACGGCCCCCACCTCCCAGGGCTGCTGAAGGAAGTGGCAAAACCCCACCGCCATGTGCTGGCCCCCAGCCAGCCTTTGTAAGGAAGGGGAGGTTGTCGTGTGTCCCCTTGTCTGTGAAGCCAACCTCAGCATTGGGGTAGAGCGGAGGAGGGCAGGAAAGGCGTCCCCTTCAAGCCTGGGCTCTAGGCTAGGCACGCCGACACAAGGGACCGGCTCAGTCATATCATGTGACCACAGCCTGGGGCCCAGCAGCACCCCCCCACCCCCCCACCCCATCCCGGCCTCCCAGCTTCTTCTCAGACACCGCACACCCCTTTACCTCCTTTCTGGGTCAGGGCTGAGGTTCACAGTTTCTCACGGCCTCTGTCCCTGGCTCCTCTGTCCTGGCCCAGAGACGGAGGGCACAGCCATCCCCCCCAAGTGAGGACACCCAGACCCAGGCAGGCAGAGTGACTTGGCCTAGGTCACACAAGCCAGCCAGCCCCACCGCCTTCAGCCTCCCTACTGCGGAAGGATCAGAGACCCCTGCGCCTTGCCCCCACACTCCTCCCCCCTGCCTCTTGCAGGACGGAGCTCTTGGCTGGGGGCACCAAATCCGGGCCCCCTGCACCCTGACGCGCCGCCGCTCAGCGCAGGGGCCTCAGTTTCCCTAGAAGTGGGGCCGCCGGAGGCCTCGGGCCCTCGGAGCCTTCTGCCCCCTCGGTCCGGACGTGCCCTGGCCGCTCCGTCGGGGGGATCGGCCGGGAACCCGGGGCGGAGGCGGGCGGGCAGCCGCGCGGAGCGGCGGGGGACAGACGCTGCGCGGGTGGAGGTCACTTACTGTGTCCGGGCCGGGCCGCCGCTGTCCCCGCAGAGCCCGGCGCCGCCTGAAATAGTCGCAGACCCCGCCCCCGCCCGCCCTCCTGCCCCGCCCGCGGCAGGCGCGGAAACCCCGCGGGCGGGGGCCCGGCCCGAGTGTCCCCGAGTCCCGAGCCGCGCGCGCCCCGCCGAGGGGAGTGGGGGCGGCACTGCTTGGCACCAGCCCGGGCGGGGTGTGGGGGGGGGGGCTGGCCGGGCGTCGCCGCGGCTTGGGGGCGCGGGAACCGCACCCTGGGCCGGACGGGGACCCGCCAGGCGCTGGCATTGTCCCACCACGGCTTCTGATTGGCCGGCTGGAAGGGGCCCGGGACCTCTGTCCCGCGTCACAGAGCCAGCACCCGCCCCGGCTCCCGAGCTCTCTCCCCGCGGGGTCCCGGGGACCGTCCCACCCTGACTCCCTGGGCCGCGCGAGGGTTGCCCGCTCTGGGTAGAGCGTCCCCGCTCCGGGTATCCGGGAGGCAGGGGGGCGGCGCTGCTGGAGGAGGCGGGGAGGGGAAGGGGGCCGCAGGGCTGGCCAGCTACCGACACAGCGCACCGTGCTGGGGGCTTGGCATCCGCTCGTTCACAAGCCTGGCTCGAAAGGGGGCAGAAAGGTGACGTGACCTCCAAGTCGCCCGAGGTTGCACCCCGTGCTGCGGACTCCCGCGGGGGCACTTTCCCTTCCTGGGATTGGGGTGGGGCCGGGACGTCTTCCGAGGCACCAGGCCCAGACCCCTGCGGCTCAGGCTTGATCCTCACGCAGTGCAGCCTTGTCCTTACTGGCCTTGGGCAGGCCAGGCCCCTTTCTGGGCCTCAGTTTCCTCATCCAAACCCAGTTTCTCCCTCTCTCTGGGTCTGGGGGAGCTGGGGGGGGGGGGGAGCGTTGCTGGTGAAGAGCAACCATTAGCGCCTCACCCCCTTCCCCATTTCTTGTTTTAGGAATTCTTGCCTTCTGGAAAGAGTGGTGTCATTGAGAAATTCCCCAGCTGGGCACCGGCTTCCCTTTTACTTCTTGCTAGAGCCTCTGCCCCTTCCAAACTTTTGTTTGCCTCTGCCCTTGGTCTCTCTCCCCCAATGTGTGGATTCCTGTTCCCGGTACCAGCTGGGCAAAGATCTCTGAGGTCAGGGAGTAGGTGGGGTAGAGGGGAGCTGGGGGTGCCCTTTGCACTAAGAACTTCCTCTTCCTCCTTGGGAATGGTGGTCAAGTACCAGGCTTGGGCTTGGCTACAGATCCTGTCCCTGGGGGGCACTTGTGGGGGGACCTCAGGAAATGGCAGTAAGACGGATTCCACACTCTCTTTCCCTAAGTGTCTGGTGGGGGGGTGGGGGGCGGTGACCATTGCAGAGGAGCCAACAGAGCCACAGTGCCCCGGGGCTGGGAGGGTCATTCCATTTCCTCCCTGGTGAACAGACTGTGGGGATGAAAGGCCACTCCCCCAAGTTCATCCAGCCAGACAGGGGCCAGGAGGGTGGGAGCCAAGGGGTCCTGGCTCATTGCCTCCTGTGGCCACGTTGTGCAATCCCCACACTTTCCTGCCAGCCCTCCTCTCCTCTCCCCAAACAGATTGGGAAATCACTGGAGAATCTGAAGTTTTCTGGGTCATTGTGGGTGTGTGTCCGGGGGAGGGGGTTGTCAGGCCCACACACCCCACCACCCATCAGAGCCCCAGATCCTGATCAGCAGAGACAGGACGGACACTTCACAGGGCAGGTGCTGGGCAGCCAACTTCATCCCTGGATGCCCAGGCTGCCTGGGCTCCCTCTCCATGGCCTCACCCTGGGCAGCAGCCAAGAGTTGGGAAAAGTTGCCTTCTCCTTTGTGGTCGCACCATTCACTTCCGCTTTCCCTGAGTTGAGATAGGAGGTCAAGTGCTTCCTACACAGAGCCCCCCGCACAAGGGAAATCCTCTGCAAACAGGGCTGCATAGACGGCCAGGGGACGACAGCCAGTGGGGCAGGTGCTGCTTTTATCCCGTCTGGAGAGATGAGGAAACCTCCCCAAGAGGCCAGACACTTCCAGAGGAGGCCAGCCAAGGATTCCACCCTCAGCAGGAAATGAGCATCAGACGCTGGTTGGGGGTGTTCCCGCCAGCTGCTGTCCCAGTGGCCACCTCCCTGAGGGATGGGTAGGGGAGAGCAGGCCAGCTCCACCCGGAAGAGAGGGGTGGACAGCAGGCAGAGCAGAGTGGCATCAGACCCCTCCAGCCTAGCCCGGAAGTCAGGTGTATCAGCCCCCGGCCAGCAGTAGCGGTCAGCTCCTCACCGGCAGCCCAGGGCTCAGAAGCCCAGGACAAAGTGAGTTGGCCTCCCTTCCCTCTGCTCAGAAATGACAGCTGGTTGGTTTTTAAAGTTGTGATGAAGCACGCATAACGTAATTTCCCATTTTGACCATCTTAAGTATACAGTTGGGTGGTGTGTACATTATTACGCAATATTATTATTACTTCACCACCATCCCTCTCCAGAACATTTTTCACCTTGCAAGAATGAAATTCTGTACTTATTAAACGTTAACTCCCCGTTTCTTCTTCCCCGAGCCCCTGGCAATCACTGTTCCACTTTCTCTTTGTAAACTGGACTATTCCAAGCACCTCATAGAAGTGGAATCATAACAGCATTACTCCTTTTGTAACTGGCTTATGTCACTCAGCACGATGCCCCCAAGGGTCACCCATGTTGTAGCTGGGTCAGACTCTCCTTCCCTTTTCCAACTGAATATTTCATTGTTTATGCAACACGGCCTGTCGGTGGACGCTTGGATTGCTGCTACCCTGTGGCCGTCGTGAGTGAGGCTGCTTTGAACGTGGGTGTGCAAATACCTGTTTGAGACCCTGCTTTCAACTCTGAGGGTGGTCAGTTGACGTGTGTTGGCCTCCACAGGTGCCGAGCTCTGTTCTAAGTGCTTTACATGCGTTAGCAGACACTCCTTCACAGACGAGGGAAACAGAGGCACAGATAGGTCCAGTCATGTGCAGAAGGAGGGTGCAGCTTGGAGCAAGGGTCAGCAGGTGCAAAGGCCCAGGGAGGGGATCGCACAGGAACGAAGGGCTGGGCTTCACTGGGAAGACCCGGCCAAAGTGCCTTGGTCGCAAGGGCAGTGTTGACCGTGTGGTGGACTCCCCAGGACCGGGTGTCTAGGGCATTCCAGGATGTCACTGAGCCCTTCCCCCATGGCACAGGCCACTTCCTTTTGCGAGAAGACTATGCATTTACCACCACCCTAAACCAGCTCTCCAGTCCTACTTCTCCCTGTCCGTCTCAGGCCATCACCCGACCTGGGACCCTTCCCTCATCCTGGGGACACCCCACTCACCAACGGCACTGGGCAGAGCCATTGTATCCCCTGTTGACAGATGAGGAAACTGAGTCTCAGAGTGTAAGTGGACACAGGGTTTGAGGCCTTGAGTCTGTGGTCCCTGCTGCCACTGACCTTTCCCAAAAGGGGAAGTCACTTGTTCAAGGGTATCTGAAGTTGCACCAGACCTCAGCTGGAGTCTGCTGACCTCCCCAGGGACCACGGGATGGCCAGGACAGCTGACCGGGAACCTCCCTCACAGGGCACGCCCGCCCTCGCGCGCACTCACCAGGCCAAATGTTTACCAATAGATAGTGCCCCTCCCATCACCCATGAAGCCTCTCCCCTCCGCCCTCCCCCAGAGGAAGCCGGCAGCACCATCCCTTCAGCGTCTGCCTGATGGAGAAACTGAGGCAAGGGGAAATGGCTCCTGCAGCTCTTCCATGAGACTGACCCACCTCAAGCCCAGCACTCTTCCAAGGAGTGCAGGGCAGTGCAAGTCAAGTTCAGCTCCTGTCTCTTCTGGCCTGGGGCTGCCCTGGGGCCCTTCTCCGAGTCCGTAGGATTTCCAGGAAAACGGCCAGGAGGCTTGCTCCCCCAAAGGCCCCACCAACGGCAGAGGCAAGTCACATGGCAGGGGCTCTCTGGGAATCCCAGCACCGCACGGGCCTGGCCAGGCGGGGACGAGAGGGGTGCTTCCCCGCAGCCTCTCAGGGCCTGGGTGCTGAGAACTCCCCCTCATCCGACAGGGCACCGGAAGCTGCGAGCTTCTGGGTTTTGGAGAAGGCAGGCATGATGATGGGGGCTTGGGCGCGAAGACCACCTGGCCCCTGGGGAGCTGCGTCACTCACATCTGTATTTTCAGACACGTGGCTCCATCCCTCAGGCCTCAGTCTTCCCTCCTGGAAGCGGAGGGGACACACGCTCAGGAGGTTGCCAGGAAAGGCTTACGAGAGAGAGAGAGAGAGAGAGAGAGAGAGAGAGAGAGAGAGAGAGACGTGCGTGCAAAGAGCAGCAACGCTCCTCTTGGTGAGTGCAAGCCACAAGCCGGCTCTCATCCGGCACCATATTTGCGTTTTCTCATGTAATGCTTCCAATTTTACACCAGGAGATGGAACCCAGAGAGGGAGAGTAACTTGCTCAATGTCACACAGCCAAGAAGGTGCAGAGCTGGGGTCCCAGCCCGGGGTGTCTGAATCCAGAAGCTGACTCTTACCGCTGCCCCGAATCCACAGGAAGGGGGGAAGCCGTAAATCGCGGAGCACAGCCAGGCAGGCACCCAGTGGGTGCCCCAGAAACCGCGGGGCTTTTCATGACATTCCTCTTTTCCAACATCCTGAGATTCCATGATTTGAGGATTCTGGCAACCTGACGGTGTTAGGTTCTTTATCACTTGCTCTGTTTACAGGACTGCCCGCGTCCCCAACCGCCTCCAGCAAGAGGCTTCATGGATGCCTGACATTTCGTTATTCACGTATATTCTTCGGATGAGCATCGCTTTTTACAAATGCCAGTATCCTGTGAGGATCCCCTGGTTGCTTCTGGGGAAGGATATAGGGGATGGGAATATGGAGACATCTCACCTTATAACCTTTTTGTACGTTTACAATTCTGAGCTATGTGGGGGCGCCTGGGTGGCTCGCTCAGTTAAGCATCTGACTCTTGATTGAAATCAAGATCATATCTCACAGTTTGTGAGTTCGAGCCCCGCGTCAGGCTTTGTGCGGACAGCACCGAGCCTGCTTGGGGTTCTCTCTCTCCCTCTCTCTCTCTCTCAAAATCAGCAAGTAAACATTAACAAAAATTCTGAGCTGTGTGATTGTGTCACTATCCAAAATATTATGAGAGTTAAAAATGAAAACATTTCACAAATAAATGTTAAAGGCCACTAACAGGTGGGGAGCTATACTGTGCAGAGTAGGGGAATCTCGAGAGGAGGGAAGTCTTTGCAATGGACCAGTCCAGGCCCCACGGGCCCCAGGAGAGGAGTGGACCCAGGGGTGGGCTTGACTTGTCTTGGGTTTAGTCCCCTCGAACCATTTCACCAGAGGAGGGCCCGAGGCGGGGTGGTGGGGGGGGGGGGGCGGGCTGAGACCCTGGCAGCACTTGCCCAGGGGAGCTCCCGGCACCCGGCACATCTCTCCCACAAGAGGGCCTGCACTGCCACCAGGGGGGCCTGGTCCTCCCAGACCCAGGCCTCTGTGGAGCTGGCCCTCATCAGCAGCATCCTTACGGGCCCCTCAGCACCCAGTGCTCCACAGCCAGCAGGGGAAGGGTGGGCCCTGACCTGGGAGAAGGGCCCCTCTGGCCTGCTGGAGTTCCCAAAGGGACTTGGTGGCAGCAAAGGAAGGAAGTGACAATGCGGCTGGAGGGTGACTCTGGGAACACTGCAGCCTCCTCTCCCCTCCCCTGAAGGGGTGGGGGCCCCGTAAGGACTGCCTGCTGGCCGATGAGGGTGCCGCCCTATGTACGGGGGCTCCATGTGGTTCAGGGGCCAGGAAGGAAGGGGCTGGGGTCACCAGGCAAGCAAGGAAGAGAGAGAGAGGCTGTACGGGGACAGAGGCGACACACTGTCATTCACAGCGTGCCCGGATCTGAGGACGGTCTCATCTACTCCCGCCCTCCCTCACCTATGGGGTGCTGCAGATGAGGGGACAGAGCCTCAGGGAGGAGATGGCCCCGGGTTACCAGTGAGGAGGGCAGAGCCGAGACCCGAAAACACTGCTGCCTGGTATGGCCCCGTGGGCTTGTACGGCACAACACTCTCCAGGGGAGCTGGGCCCAGCCACGAGTCCCAGCAGGGAGAGGAGCCCACAGAAGGCACGAGTCCGAGGCTGAGCTAGGGCGAGGCTCCTAGGTGACACTCCAGTCCCCGTCTGTCACCCCAGGATTGTCCTGGGGCTAGCAGGACTCTCAGGCTGTGGCTCACCATGTCCTGGGACCTGGGCACTCTGCCTTGGGCAGGGTGGCCCTCCACATATTCTCACTGCCCTCCCCAGGTTGGGCTGGGGTCCCCAAAACTTCTCAGAGCAAGCCTTGTTTCAAGAGCCCGCAGGCTCGGGGCCAGAGGCCAGAAGCAACCCCCAAGGCAGGAAGGAACCCCAAGAAACGTGAGCATTGAAGGAAGCCAGGCTGAGCTGGAGAGGAAAGAGAAGGGAGCCGTGCAGGAGAAAGAGGGTGGCCAGACAGGGACGGAACCAGGGATCAGCTGGGAGGGCCCAGGACCTGAGTTCCAGGGGCAGATCGGATGTCCTGCTCCACCTGGGGAGTGCAGACACGGGGCAAGGCCCCTCCGTCCCCAGGCACATTCCAGGAACACCCATGCGCACATGCTTCCTTGTCAGCCAGACAACCTGGCCTACAAGTCCGGAAGCTGCCCTCTGAGGGCCAGCCCCTCCCCCACACTTGGCCCGGACAACAGGATGGCCAACGAAATACTCCAGGCTCTCCGCAAGGCCTCATGAGACCTGGTGGGATGGGAGAGCCGGGGGGTCTGAGGCAGAATGGCCAATGGCCAGAGTCCGGTGCCCCTGGCCTGGCCCACCTCTGGGCCCCAACCGTCCTGACCACAGCCTCGGAGGAGCTGCCGTGCGGCCTCCTGTGCATCTCAGCTTGGCCCCGGGAAGCCAGCCCCTGCCTCCAGGCGCTGCTGGGCTCACAGGAACACACACGAGGCACACACACCCGCCTGGGCACGAAGGTTCCTGCCAGGAAAATCCGATTCCCTGTCTCCAGGCCCAGACACGCCCCGGAAGATGGCCCTGGGTCTCAGCCTGAGGCCTTTCCACTGCAACAGGATGCTGCTGTCAGCGAGGGGCTCCCCCACTTTGGCGCCTCCTCCCAGCCTCCTCCTGGGCGCCTTCCCCACTCACCGACCCCACCGGCCTCAGGCTTCGCTGTCACTCAGAGGCCCCCGCTCCTGCACCAGGGCCTTTTTAAGTTTTGCTTGCAGACCATGGCCTGGCCAGGCCCTGGGGATGGCATTACAAGAGAGCCAGGCATCTGGTTTTCTGGCTGGCTCGTATGTAGCCCTTCCCAGCCTGGGGGGCACAGACAGCACCCCCATTTCACAGCGAGGAAAACAGAGGCATGGAGAAGTAAAGGAATGTGCCTACGGTCCCATGACGGGAAAGTGGCAGGGCTGGGGCTGCACCCTTCCCCACCTCTGCAGCCTGCCTTGGGAACCCAGCCCCAGGGCTCTCACCCTAGCCAGGGGCTCAGGGGGGCGGGGGGGAGAGGCAGGCGTGTTAGGGCAGGGGCTGCCGGCGGGGGGGCAGTTTCTGTGAGGAGACTGGGGCTCAAACACGGGGTAGGGGCTCCCTAGGGAGAACCCGGCCAGGACCAAATCAAACCTTCTATGCCCCACCCCACCCAGCCTTGGACTCACCCAGGCCACTGATGGCTGCTGAGGTCAAATGTGGAGTCGGGCTGGCCTGTCAGTCCCTGCCCTTCCTGGGGAAGGAGGTACCCCTCTGATACCTCCCTTCCTCCTGACTGTGAGGGTCTCAGGCTACCTGTGCTGGGGCCTGATGTGAAGCAACCTCTACCCTCTGCTGGCCTCAGTTTCCCCACAAAGGAAAGACACAGGACTGCTCGTCAGTGTCGACACTGGAACACACCGTCCCCATCCTTAGCCTGGAGCCCGGGAGCCCCAACCACTCCTGCTCCTCCCACCCCACCCCACCCCTCTGCATTACCTGCGTAGGGAAGGCTGGACACCCAGGCCTCCTGCCCGCCCTCCCCTGACCCCCGTGTATCCACGGAGGGGCCGCCCCTGGTACCTGCTCCCGCTCCCCTCAGCACCCCAACAAGACGCAGTTCTCCAGCCTTGGTGTAGGGATTGTGGCAGACCCGCCCCTGGCTGTCCACAGTGTAGGGAGATGGGCCTGGAAGGAGCTAGGGGAGTCAGATCCCCCAGCGGCCTGGCCCCGCAGCCTTTCAGAACTCTCGTCTTGTCCTCGGGAGGCTCAACTTCACTGGGTTCTTAGAACCTTGGCCCACCTGCAGTCCCTTGCTCCCCACCTCTGCCAAGGTCACGGTCAGGCTCACGGGGGGTCTGCTGCAGAGGGATGGGCAGGAAGGCACCTATCACTGTCTGCCTCAGCGTCTACCCCACCCCCTCCACACGCACACACCATCTCAGCACTCAGCCTCCCTGGCAAGCTGGAGGCTGCCAATGCAAATGGGTTTCTCAGCAGCCTTGCCAGAGGCTAGAGTCAGATTTCAGTGCCAGCTTTTCGGGAGAGAAGAACCAGGCGATGGGGGTGGATAACAGGTGCACGGTGGGGCAATCTCCTTGCAGCCCTGCCAGCCAAGCTGAGACCGGTAGGATCATGACCCCCCCCACACACACACACTCCCCAGGGCTGACACTTGCCCTCCACCAGTTCTACAGCTTTTGCTGTTGGGAAGTCCCTCTCACATCTAACCCAAATACTTCAGGCTGCAGAACAGGCCTCGGCCTTTTCTTGTCTCCTAGGGGCCCAGGCCTGTTAGAACAGGACAGAACAGTGCCAACTCCTGCTGGGTGAGGCGCACTTGGCACATGAGGCCAGTGCACCCAGGATCCCGGGGCTGAAGACTGCTTTTCTCTGCAGCCACAGGCACAGGCCTTCCCAGCTCTGGGCCTGCCTCAGTCTCCCCATTTGTGCAATGCACAGGAAAGGACCATCTACCAAATGGAGTCACCACAGAACCTCCCATCCCGACCCCTTGGTACCTGGAGACTCAGACCGTCAACTTGGCCCTGCCCCCTCTTTAGGGAGGCACCATTTTAATTCACCTTTATTTTAAAAATAAATACTCTCTGCTTCACTTTCAGACTGGGGGTGGTGCTGGACCGTTAGGGCCGGGAGGCAGTATTGAAAGGAACCTCCGCCACCCCCAAACACTCCCCCACAAATGCCTGAAATGCCTCTCTTCGTGCTGTTCCTTCTGGTAAGCAACCGCGCACAGCTGAGGACGAACGTCGTGTGATTACGGGCTTCAAGGTTGGGGGCAGGGCTGAGAGCGCCTCCCTAGACTCCCAGCCTGGGGCTTAGTGTCTGGGTGATGCCTGGGTGAAGGTGCTGACCCTCAGTTAATGCGGCCCCCCACCTGAGGCCCACCCCCTCCGAGACCCGGAGCATTTGATGCAGGTGATCAGCACGTCCACGGAAGTAGGCACTTGGATCTCTTCGAAGAGCACACGGCCGCCAGCAGCCCCGGAGCCCTCCGCCTTGGCCGCAGCCCTCCGCAGGCTCTGGGCATGCTGCAAGAGGCGCTGGTTCCGACGGCGGCCCAGTCTGCGCAGCGCCAGAATGGCCAGCACGTGGTCCCGCCTGCAAAGACACGGCCCTATCGCTGTAGGCCCCGCACCTCCGTGGCACTTCCAGCCTTGAGCGAGGCGAGCCCCTGGGCCCAAGTGCGGGTGCCCCCGGCATTCCCGGAAGCTGGCCCGAGAAAGGCTGCGAATGACGGAAGCAGGAGTGGCAGGGCCCTGGACAGCGTGGCTGGGCCTCGAAGGGGGCTGAGCTGGGTGGGGAGGGGAAAGGGCATGCCCGTGGGGGAACACAGTCTAAGCAGAGGTTCAAAGATCAGTGGAGTGAGAGACGTGATAAGGCCTCAAGGACAGCAGGTCCAGGCCCAGAGGTGTCGGAGGCCTCTTCCTGCGAGCACTGTGCGGGGAGCCACAGGCAGGCAGCGAGGAGAGAGGCCCAGGCACAGCACGAGAAGTGCCGCCTCCAGGAATGGGGGCGGGGTGGGGGTGGGGGGAGGTAGACAGGGGCAGGCAGCCAAGAGTAGACAAGCCCCAGGGACGGGGGGGGGGGGGGGGGGGGGA